TCATATAGCAATTTTATTTAAAAATTAGAAATGGGGGAGGAGGATAAAAATTATGATTAGAGCCAGTCTTTCCATAAAGTGTATGTCTGTTTAAATTTTAATAATGAAATAAGCAGGAATACCCTCCATTCCATGGGTTGCACATCTCACCTATTAAAAAGGCATGTGAAACTCTTGTTAGAAAAATGAGGAAGTGAGTGGGGGAAATGTTCTTCAGACTGTTAAACTGTAGCTACTGGTTTTTGTATCAGAAGCCAATTCTTACATTTGAAACCCCAACTGATCTAAGCAAATTTTTCAGCTTGCCAAGTAATGAGTTTAAAAACGAGGGGCTCCTGTTGTTGCTTGAATTTCTTTCTACTTCAGTTGGTCTTTCAAATAACGTGCTCAAATGCCAAGGAAGCAATTTTCAGAAATGTACTGGTAGCTAAATCACAGCTGAAGGTTGAGATTGCATGTAGGTGGACCTCACCAGTGTTACCTAAACCCTGTATGATATTCTAGTATTACTTAAAGGAGAAAGAAATCAATGCCTAAGAAAGGGAACTGCTTAGCCTGGGTGGACCAAAGCACAGTGAAAATGCATGGCTATATACTCAGGAGAAGACTCGCGTCTTTATGATTGTCAGATTCAGTAAAACCTCGCTCTAACATTGATTTGATAGTAAATTCTTTAATATAAGACAAATTTGCTTAAATCTTTATTCAAGATAAGCTTTTAAAAAAGAAACTCTGTTAGACCTAAGCACTTCCTTAGATTATCTTATTTGATTTGTATAACAATGCTAGGAGGTGGCTACCCTAACTTCCCTCATTTTGTAGAAAAGAAAATTGAGGCACAGAAATTAAGTAACTAGCCTATATTTATAGTTAAGGAGTGGCAGAGCTGGAATGTGAACATAGGCAAAGCTTTCCAAAGCTTTATATTTTGCCACTCCCTCATCTAAAACCTCCAATAGCTAATAGCTTATCAATGCAATTGACAAGAGATGAATGGGCCAGAGCATATCTTTGGAGAGTACGGAATGAATGAAGGCATAGGGAAGTGAAGACAGAAATATTTTTTTAAACCAGCTTTACATTCCAGTTCACCCCATGGGCTACTAATTTTCTTTGCTCCCATTCCCAGATCCATCCTCCAATCTTCTCTGCCCCGCTCCCAGGCTTTCTGGATTCTAGATGGATTTGGTCATTGAAAGGCACTGGCAAGAGAATGAAGGGCAAGAGAAGAAAGGTCAGGGGGTCTCTTCCTCATGCTCTCTCTACTTCAGTTCACTTCTCTGGATCTTTTTGGCCAAGGAGCTGCATATTTTTTGGCCAAGGAGCTGCTCCTGCCCTTTCAGGCTTAGCAGTGGTATTAGCCTCCTGTTGCTGGCATCTGGGTGCTTCAGCATTTCTTATTTCTTCCCTTAACCCTGTCATACCTCTTTAAGTCATCCTTTCATTAAAGTCTCTTCTTTTGAATTATCTGGGGGAAATTCTGTTTTCTGCTGGGACCTGACTGATAGGCCATGTTTTCTAATTCCTCTCTCCACATGTATTCACTAAACAAACATTCCCAGAGCCAGGTACTCTTCCAAGGGTTGGTGGTGAAGAACATCAAGGGGAATAAGACAGACAGGTTCTTGCTTTTCTGGAGCTTAAAATATCTCATGCCTTCACTTCTTTATGCTTTGGTTCATTCCATACTTCCCACTCATCTCTTGCCAATTGTAATTCTTTAACCCCAAGTACTTCTTCAGCAAAATTCCAACATTTAGATATTTTCTGAGCACTGTAAAAGGCTAGTTTCTGTGCTAACAATAAAGATTCTAAAATGAATTCAGAAGTATTCCCTTGTCAACTCAGCATTCCAGGTCTTGTTTCAAAGACTCCATAACTCTGAAAAACCCACGGGAGCAGATGGAATTTTCCTGAGTGAACTGGAGCTGATTATTTGCCTCTTTAGAATGGCCAGCTTCCCAGATGATAAGGAGCTGCTTGTGTTGTAGGATAATTTATGGAATTATTAAGGTATTTTTCCCTAACCATTTCCAAGCAATTAGCAATATTTGGGTCTTCTTTGTCTCAAGATAGAGATGTTTGAAGAAAGCAAAATTTTTCCACTTGCCTTCCTGACTTTTGTTTCTTGAGGCCTGTGCTTTTAAGGAAATCATGGTAGTGAGGAAGGGAGGGATGAAGGTGGTTGGAGGCAGGCCATGAAGATGACAGTACTGAAGATTTAGGAGCAGGCAGAGGCTGCATGCGGCCCAGCATTTCAGAGAGGTGGCAGTGGCTGTCTGTGTCCCCAACAAGTCTGACCTCTAAGCTCTGAGTCAATGTAGAGCCCCCACGGAGGCCAAACCAAGGTGTTCCTGAGATCCCTGCAGCATCGAGGATTTCCTTGTGTGTTCAATGGCACGAAACCCCCTGCCTTTAAGAGACACCAGTAGCAAGAATACCTTAACTTATTCTGAAGTTTGATTTTCAAATGAAATTATTACATGCTCTCAGATTCCAATGTTGCTTGATTTCCTAGCAGCTGGAAATATTTTCTACTATTTTTTCAGCACCAAGGTCATTTAGTTGATATCAATGCAACTCAAATTTGTATATGAATCATTTACTCATAATTACAAAACTCTAAGCTGCATTTAAAAGAAACAAAATTGTAGCTCCTTGGGTAAGTAGGAATATTCCTTCCAAACTGTCCTTTAGTTTTCCCTCTCTGCTTGCTCATGATAGTTGGGGAATTGGGGCGTGGGGGAAGAGAGTGAGTTGATTGACCAGATTAGCAAATTATCATTTGGAGCAGGAATTGGCAAACTATGACCCAGAGGCCAAATCCAGCCCATCACCTTTTGTATGGCCCATGAGCTAAGAATGATTTTTATATTTCTATATAATTGGGGGAAAAATCAAAAGAATAATAATATTTTGTGACACTGTATTAGTCAATTTCGTATTTGCTATAAAATAATATCTGAGACCGAGTAATTTATAAAGAAAAGAGGTTTCATTGGCTCACAGTTCTACAGGCTGTATGTACATGAAGCATAGTGCTGGCATCTGCTTCTTGTGAGGCCTCGGGAAGCTTCCAGTCAGGGCAGAAGGTCAAGGGGGGCCAGCATGTTACATGGTGAGAATGGGAGCAAGAGAGGAAGGAGAGAGGTGCCACATATTTTTAAACAACCAGATCTCACAAGAACGCACTATCATGAGGACAGCAGCAAGCCATTCATGAGGGATTCACCCTTATGACCCAAACACCTCCTCTTGGGCTCCACCTTCAATACCTAAGATCATATTTCAGCATGAGATTTGGAAGGGACAGATATCCAAACCGTATCAGACACATGTAAGTTATATGAAATTCAAATGTCGGTGTCCATAATAAAATTGTATTGGAACATGGTCACACTTGTTTGTTTATGTGGCTGCTTGGTGCTACATAAATAATGCAACATAAACAATTCAACATAATTGTGCTACATAAACAATTCAACAATGCAAGGTTGAATAATTTTGACAAAGACCCACAAAGCCTAAAATATTTCTATCTGGCCTTTATAGAAGCTTGCTAACCCTTGAGATAGGGTGAAAGTGGTCATTTTTGTTCCTAGGCCTTAAACTTGGCTGTCCAAAAGAGTATCTAGTCACCTAATACCTAGATTTATTTCTATTTATATGGTTGTTACTCAACCAAGAGTAAAGTAGGCATCAGAACAGACTAAATCAAAAAGGGGGCCATCCCCCTGAGTTAAACAGAAATCAACACATATCGAATGAGCTTAGCCTGACGTAGGAAGTTCTCCCAGAGACATTATAATAATGATAGCTTCCATTTATAGAACTCTTACTATATGCCATATACTTAGCAACTCAATCCTCAAAACAGCCCTGAAAGGTGGATATTTTAAAGCTCTTGTGAAAGTGGTGCAATTAGTTAAAATACAGAAATTAAAAGGTCTATCCAATGTGACTCTAGAGGCAGGAAATGTAGAGAAAGTACTACTTCAAACACACAGTGCAAAGAGGGAGGTTTTTCGCCCACCTGCCATGACATTTCATCTTGTGGTAGACAAACTTTACAGAGTTGCTGTAAGAAATCAGTGACCTAACTTGTGGGAAAACACCTTACAGCATCTGGCAAGTAATGGTTGCCCAGTGAATGTTGATTTGCTTCCTTCTCTTTTTTTATTCCAAATTAAATTTCATATTTACCAAAAACATATTTGGGGTATACAGAAAGATCAGAATAGCAAAGCAATAATTAATAAAATGTTAGCAAAAAGGCTGGGGACAGGTGGGAGCTTTGCTTCACCATTCATGCTTTTCATGTTGTTTTGATTTTGAATCCTGTAAATGTATTAGCTATCAAAAAATGAAATTGCAAATTTATAATGAGGCTTAATTTGGAATCTATAAAATTTAGAGCCTTTCTAGTAGATATGCTTACTCAATTTTTTGATGATGATTCCTTCAATATTTATTTTATTTGATTTCATTCTTTTTTTTTTTTTTTGCCTCTAGTTTGGAATTAATTTAGTCCTTGACTTGGAAACATAACCATCCAATTTTTTTATTTATATAAATAACTCCTATGGATGTTAGTGATATCAGCCTTTAGTTCATTTTTGTAACCAAAACTTAGCTTTCTAGAGGTTATTATATCTGGCTTTCATGTGTTTTCTATATACATTTATTTCAAACCAGTAGCATTATTGGGGCAAACACATGTATTCTGTGGTGGGTAAAATACTGACTATTTAGTCAATGCTATATCAAGTTAAATAGTAACATATTTAGAAGCTAAAACAGGCCAGTCTCAGTGGCTCAAGCTTTGGAAGGCCAAGATGGATGGATCACTTGAGGTCAGGAATTCAAGACCAGCCTGGCCAACATGGTGAAACCCATCTCTACCAAAAAATACAAAAATTAGCTGGGTGTGGTGGTGCATGCCTGTAGTTCCAGCTACAGGAGGCTGAAGTGGGAGAATTGGTTGAATGACAGAGTGAGACTCTGTCTCAAAAAAAAAAAGTTAAAATATATTTATTTGTTTTCTAAATGTACCAAGACATTTCACTGGCTTGTGTCAGTAAGAGAAACACATCCAAGTTCCCTTGCCAGGAAATCCATGGACCTCTGTGTCCTCTGATGAGGGCTCCTACCCTCCCCTCTGTACCCACTCCCTAATGCCATTCCTTCCCTCTCCAGCATCACTAAACCACTAGCAGGTCTTAGTACCCCCATGCTGTTTGTCACTTAGTAGGTGCTTAGTTAATATTTGATAAATTGATGATAAACATGAATGGCCAATAACCAATGAACTGGAATGTCCCATGAACTTTCTGACACTGGTTTAATTTTCCAGAAAGTGTTCTTATTACAGAAACTAGATAGGCTAAATTCTCTAACATATGCACACTGCTCTTAATAATATTTTCTATATTATTAATAATATAGAAATTCCTCTTAATAATACTTTCTATATTATTAAATTAGCTTTTATAGGCCAGTCTCTCCTGAGTTTAGTGAACATGGATTGAACCATCTATATAGGAAAATTGGTGAAACAATGAGCCTATGGCTTGGAACACACACTCTAGAAAAAAGCATCCGAGTAGCACAAAACAACTTAACTCACCTCCACACACATGACCCTAGTAGAGTTTCTGGCCCCAGACTTTGTCTCCACTCCATCCTAGATAGCAATAACTTCTCCAAAATTATGCTTGCATTCTTTTTCTGAAGGGCTCTTAGATCAGATGTTATTAGTTAGGATAATGTTCAAGGCTTTTTGTCAACTCATCCCAATATACTCTTTTTGAGCCATGTCACCCAATGAAGCACTCTGTTCCAAGTATATCAGTTTCTCCAAGGCAAATCCTTTGTTTATTTCTACCTTCAAATCTTAGCCTATATTCCTTCCATTAAAGAAGTCTCCTGAGTTTGTTTTTAAAGTGAGCTGTTTTGTTTATGCCAATTAAAATTCTGTGTATCAAAAGAGCCTATATAAAACCCATCTCTTTCCCATAATCTTTCTTGGCATCAGCTGTTTATACTATAACATCTAATAACTTGTCTATATGTGCTCTGCTTAATTCCCACTTGCATTCTATTCATACATCTTGTCTGCTCAAACACAGGACTGTTGTTTTGAGACCTAGGTTTGGTTTTTTGCTTATTTATCATTTCTCCTAATGCCTACCACAGACCTGGCTGGACTGAGTAGGTGTTCTAAGGATCCCAATTAAACTGAATCTTCAGAATGCATTTTCAAATTGGGAGGCAGAGAATGAATGAAATGGATACATAATATCTGCCATGATAGGTATTTGTTATCTAAAGTAATCCTCACAAAATACTGCCAAATATTTATTATTAACCTTACCTTTTAGAGATGAACAAGCAGATACTTACAAAAGCTTAGTGACTTGCCAGTGCCGCATTGCTAGTGTGTGGCAGAGCTGGAATTTGAAAACAGATCTGTTTGATGTCAAAGCTTTTCCTTTTATCCCTCTTTTCACTCAATATTTTGCAATGGTAACAATCTTTAGGACTGAGGAGTATAAAATGTTACTATGCAGAGAAGGGATCCAAGATGGCCAAATAGGAACAGCTCTGGAGTGCAGTTCCCAGTGAGAATGCAGAGGGTGAGTGATCACTACATTTCCAAACAAGTTTTTACTGCCCACAGACCAGGAGATTCCCAGGGAGAAAAGGGCGACAAGCCTCCAGCATGGCTGTTTCAGCTGGTGTAGTGGGTCTCCGCACAAAAACTCACACAAATCTGGACAGTCTTTTCAACTGGCACCTGGAATGCCTGGGAGACAGAGCCACCCATTCAACTGAAAAATGGGGCTGAAACAGGGAGCCAAGTGATCTGGCTCGGCAGGTCCTACCCCCACAAAAACCAGCAATCTGAAATGCTCTGGATTGAGAGTTTCACGGGAAGCACAGCTGGACCTGGGATGATCCACCTTTGTAGGGTGAAGGGCATCCATGATTACCGAGGCAGTCCACCACTACCAAGGCAGTCTGCCATTACCGAGGAAGTCCACCATTACCGAGGCAGTCCACCATTACTGAGACAGACTGCCATTACCAAGGCAGTTATAACTATACCTCTGTAAACAAAACCACAAGGAAGTTCACACAGCAGCTGGGCAGAGCCCACAGCAGCTCAGCAACGCCTCTGCTGGCAGACTGGGACTAGTCCACCTCCTCACTGGGCAGAGAATCTCTGAAAAAGGGGACCAGCATGTCAGGAACTTATAAATAAAGCCCCACCTTCCCAGGACAGAGCACCTGGGAAAAAAAGGCCGTTATGAGTTCCACTGCAGCAGACTTAAATGTACCTGCCCAGCAGCTCTGAATGGAACAACGGAACTCACAGCTTAGCACTTGAGCTCCTATAAGGGGCAGACTCTGTCCTCAAGCAGCTCCCCAACCCCCATTTATCCAAAGAGTCACCTCATAAAGGAGAGCTCAGGCTGACATCTGGTGGGTATCCCTCTGGGACAAAGATAATGAAAGAAGGAACTGGCAGAAACCCTTACTTTTCTGTAGCCACTGCAGGTGATCCCCAGGCAAGCAGGGTCTGGAGTGGACCTCTAAAAGTCCTACAGCAGAGGCACGTGACTGTTACAAGAAAACAAAAAAAAGCAGAAAAAAATAACTTCATCATCAACAAAAAGGACGTCCACTCAGAGACCACTACCAAAAGTTACCAACTACAAAGACCACAGGTAGATAAATCCACAAAGATGGGAAGAAACCAGTGCAAAAAGGATGAAAACACCCAAAACCAGACCACCTTTCCTCCTCCAAGGGGTGACAACTCCTCACCAGTAAGGAAACAAGGCTGGATGGAGAATTAGTCTGATGAATTGACAGAAACAGGCTTCAGAAAGTGGGTAATAAACTTCTCTAAGCTAAAAGAATATGGTCTAACCCAATGCAAAGAAATAAAGAACCTTGAAAAAACATTAGACAGCATGCTAATGAGAATAAACAGCTTAGAGAAGAATATAAATGAATTGATGGAGCTGAAAAACACAACACGAGAACTTCATGAAGCATACACATGTTTCAATAGCTGAATCAACCAAGCAGAAGAAAGGATATCAGAGATTGAAGATCAACTTACTGAAATAAAATGAGAAGGCAAGATTAGAGAAAAAAGAGTAAAATAAACGAATGAAGCCTCCAAGAAATATGGGATTATGTGAAAAGACCTAATCTACACTTGATAGGTGTAACTGAATGTGATGGAGAGAATAAATCCCAGCTGAAAAACACTCTTCAGGATATTATCCAGGAGAACTTCCTCAGCCTAGCAAGGCAGGCCAATATTCAAGTCCAAGAAATACAGAAAACACCACAAAAATATTCCTCAAGAAGAGCAACCCCAAGGCACATAATCATCAGATTCACCATAGTTGAAATGAAGGAAAAAATGCCAAGGGAAGCCAGAGAGAAAGGTCAGGTTACCCACAAAGGGCAGCCCATCAGACTCACAGCAGATCTCTCGGCAGAAACCCTATAAGTCAGAAGAGAGTAGGGGCCAATATTCAATACCCTTAAAGAAAAGAACTTTCAACCTAGAATTTCATATCCAGCCAAACCAAGCTTCATAAGTGAAGGAGAAATAAAATCCTTTATCAATAAGTAATTGCTCAGAGATTTCATCACCACAGGCCTGCCTTACAAGAGCTCGTGAAAGAAGCAGTAAACATAGAAAGGAATAATCAGTACCAGCCACTCCAAAAATGTACCAAATGCTAAGGAGCATTGAGACAATGAAGAAACTGCGTCAACTAATGGGCAAAACAACCAGCTGGCATCAAAATGGCAGGGTCAGATTCACACATAACAATATTAACCTTAAATGTAAATGGGCTAAATGCCCCAATCAAAAGACACAGACTGGCAAATTGGATCAAAAGTCAAGACCCATCGGTGTGCTGTATCCAGGAAACCCATCTCATGTGCAAGGATACACACAGACTCAAAATGAAGGGATGGAGGAAGATTTACCAAGCAAATACAGAGCAATAAAAAGCAGGAGTTGCAATCCTAGTCTCTGATAAAGTAAATTTTAAACCAACAAAGATCAAAAGAGACGAAGAAGGGCATTACATAATGGTAAAAGTATCAATGCAACAAGAAGAGCTAATAATCCTAAATATATACGCACCCAGTAGAGGAGTGCCTAGATACATAAAGCAAGTTCTTAATGACCTACAAAGAGACTTAGACTCCCATACAATAATAGTGGGAGACTTTAACACTCCACTGTCAATATTAGACATATCAACAAGACAGAAAATTAACAAGCATACCAGGACTTGAACTCAGATCTGGACCAAGCAAACCTAATAGACATTTACAGAACTCTCCAACCCAAGTCCACAGAATATATATTCTTCTCAGCACCACATTGTAACTACTCTAAAATTGACCACATAATTGGAAGTAAATCACTCTTCAGCAAATGCAAAAGAACGGAAATTGTAACAAACAGTCTCTCAGACCACAGTACAATCAAAATAGAACTCAGGATTAAGAAACTAACTCAGAACCACACAACTTCATGGAAACTGAACAACTGGCTCTTGAATGTTGACTGGATAAACAATGAAATGAAGGCAGAAATAAAGATTTTCTTTGAAACCAATGAGAACGAAGACACAATGTACCAGAATCTCTGGGACAGATTTAAAGCAGTGTCTGGAGGAAAATTTATAGCAATAAATGCCCACATGCGAAGTAAGGAAAGATCTAGAGTTGACACCCTATTGTCAAAATTGAAATAGCTAGAGGAGCAAGATTTAAAAAAAAAAAAAAACTCAAAAGCTAGCAGAAGACAAGAAATAAGATCAGAGCAGAACAAAAGGAGATAGAGACACAAAAAGCCCTTCAAAAAATCAATAAATCCAGGAGCTGTTTTTTGAAAAGATCAACAAAATAGGCCACTAGCCAGATTAATAAAAAAGAAGAGAGAGAAGAATCAATAGATGCAATAAAAAACGATAAAGGGGATATCACCACAGATTCCACAGAAATACAAACTACCATCAGAGATTACTACAAAAAACTCTATGCACATAAACTGGTAAACCTGAAAGAAATGGATAAATTCACAAACACTTAGATCCTCCAAAGCCTAAACCAGGAAGAAGTCGAAACCTTGAATAGACCAATAACAAGGGCTGAAGTTGAGGCAGCAATTAAGAGCCTACCAACCAAAAAAGTCCAGGTCCAGATGGGTTCAGAGCCAAATTCTACCAGACGTACAAAGAGGACCTGGTACCATTCCTTCTGAAACTATTCCAAACAATCCCAAAAGAGGGAATTCTTCCCAAATCATTTTATGAGACCAACATCATCCTGATACGAAAACCCAGCAGAGACTCAACAAGAAAAGAAAACTTCAGGCCAATATCCATGATGAACATAGATGCAAAAATCTTCAATAAAATACTGGCAAACTGATTGCAACAGCACATCAAAAAGCTTATCCACCATGATCAAGTAGGCTTCATCCCGGCGATGCAAGGCTGGTTCAACATACACAAGTCTATAAATGTAATTAACTGCATAAACAGAACTAAAGATAAAAACCACATGATTATCTCAATAGATGCAGAGAAGGCCTTGAACAAAATTCAACAGCCCTTTATGCTAAAAACTCTCAATAAACTAGGTATTGGAGGAATGTATCTCAAAATAATAAAAGCTATTTATGACAAACCCACAGCCAGTATCATACTGAATGGGCAAAAACTGGCAGCATTCCCTTTGAAATCTGGCACTGGACAAGGATGTCCTCTGTCACCACTCCTGTTCAACATAGTATTGGAAGTTCTAGCCAGAGCAGTCAGGCAAGAAAAAGAAATAAAGTGTATTCAATTGGAAAGAAGGAAGTCAAATTGTCTCTATTTGCAAATGACATGATTGTACATTTAGAAGACCCCATTGTCTCAGCCCAAAATCTCCTGAAACTGATAAGCAACTTCAGCAAAGTCTCAGATAAAAAAAATCAATGTGCAGAAATCATAAGCATTCCTATATAGCAATAACAAACTTAAAGAGAGCCAAATCAAGAATGAACTGCCATTCAGAATTGCTACAAAGAGAATAAAATACCTAGGAATACAAATAACAAAGGATGTAAAGGAACTCTTCAAGGACAACTACAAATCACTGCTCAAAGAAATAAAAGATGACACAAACAGATGGAAAAACATTCCATGCTCATGGTTAGGAAGCATCAGTAACATGAAAATGGCCATAGTGCCCAAAGTAATTTATAGATTCAATGCTGTCCCCATCAAACTACCATTGATGTTCTTTACAGAACTGGAGAAAAACAACCTTAAACTTCATGTGAAACCAAAAAAGGGCCCGCATAGCCAAAAGAATCCTAAGCAAAAGAACAAAGCTGGAGGCATCACGCTACCTGACTTCAAACTATTCTACAAAGCCGCAGTAATCAAAACAGCATGGTACTGGTACCAAAACAGAGATATAGATCAATGGAACAAAACAGAGGCCTTGGAAGTAAAGCCACACATCTACAACCATCTGATCTTTGACAAACCTGACAAAAACAAGCAATGGGGAAAGGATTCCCTGTTTAATAAATGGTGTTGGGAAAACAGGCTAGCAGTGTGCAGAAAGCAGAAACTGGACCCCTTCCTGATACCTTACACTAAAATTAACTCCAAATGGATTAAATACTTAAACATAAGATGTAATACCATCTAAACCCCAGAAGAAAACCTAGGCAAAACCATTCAGGACATAGGCATAGGCAAGAACTTCATGACTAAAACACCAAAAGTATTGGCAACAACAGCCAAAATAGACAATTGGGATCTAATTAAACTCCAGAGCTTCTGCACCACAAAAGAAACAATCATTAGAGTGAACTGACAACCAACAGAATGGGAAACGATTTTTGCAGTCTACCCATCTGACAAAGAACTAAAATAGATTTGCAAGAAGAAAAGAAACAAACCCATTCAAAAGTGGGCGAAGGACATGAACTTTTCAAAAGAAGACATATATGAGGCCAACAAACATATGAAAAAATGCTCATCATCACTGGTCATTAGAGAAATGCTAATTAAAACTACATTGAGATACCATCTCATGCCAGTTAGAATGGTGATCATTAAAAAATCTGGAGACAACAGATGCTGGAGTGGATGTGGAGAAATAGGAACACTTTTACATTGTTGGTGGGAGTGTAAATTAGTTCAACCATTGTGGAAGACAGTGTGGCGGTTCCTCAGTACCTAGAAATAGAAATTCCATTTGACCCAGCAATCCCATTACTGGGTATATACTCAAATGATTATAAATCATTCTATTATAAAGACACATGCACACGTATTCTCATTGTGGCACTGTTTACAATAGCAAAGACCTGGAACAAAACTAAATGCCCATTGATGATAGACTGGACAAGGAAAATGTGGCACATATACACCATGTAATACTATGCAGCAATAAAAAATGATGATTTTGTGTTGTTTGTAGGGACATGGATGAATCTGGAAACCATTTCTCAGCAAACTGACACAAGAACAGAAAATCAAACACCACATGTTCTCACTCATAGACAGGTGTTGAACAATGAAAACACATGGACAC